CATGCTGGAGCAGGAACACGATCCTGGCGCACCGGTGCGGGGAGCACGCGAGAGCCTTCTTGGGGGCGAGGGATTTCTTGGCAACTCCTTTCTTGCTGCGAAGGCGCTGGACGCGGTGGGTCTCGCCCAGGGGCCGCACGCCTAGGAGCCAGGGCGCCTTCTTAAGGAGGAGGTGGCGGAGGCACCTCCGGAGCTGCGTTACCCGCGCAGGACGGAGGGAGATGCAGCGAGAGGGACGGCGCAGGGGAGCCCCCTGCGGCACTGACAAGCTCGGTGATGCGAGCAAGCCACTCTTCGTAGAGGTCGTCGACATGACGGTAGTGAAGGAGCTCACGCGCCAGGAGCAACGCGGCGTGCGCATCTGCAGGGGCGCGACGGGCATGCAACGACGAGCCAGCTGGAGCTAGCGACGGGGTGGCGGTGCGGCCTTCCCTCCGCACCAAGGGATGCAGCAACGACGCTTGCTGCTCGTTCCCTGCCGGGCCGGTGGCGGCATGGGCGGCAGGCGACGGGGAACGACGTGGAGGCCCACCGACGGGAGCTGTTTGGGCGACATGGGCAGCGAGGGTAGCCCGATGCTCGACACGAGCTCGGCGAGCGTCAGCCATGGACGCGATGAACGATGGAACGCGAGACAGCGGAAGAAAAGATTTCGGTGCACCCCTACCTGGCGCGCCAAATGTCGGATGTGGGGTTCCGGCAAACCCTTAAGGTTCGAACTCTGGGGTACGCGCGAAGATCTTTCCTCTACCAACCCACGTCCCAACGCCTTGCTGAGAATCTAGACTACTCGATGAACAACACAAGGGACACGAGGTTTATACTGGTTCAGGCCACCATTGTGGTGTAATACCCTACTCCAGTGTGTGGTGAGTGGATTGCCTTAGGGGCTGATGATGGATAGTACAAAGGAAGGACAGCCTCGCGAGGGGTGTTCTTGTGGTGGTGTGCTTGGAGAGGAATTGCTCCGTCTCTGTTGGCTCTGGGTGAGATCCAGATGAGATGCCTCCTACTGTGGTGGCTAGTCCTATATATAGAGGCCCTGGTCCTCTTCCCAAATATTGAGCGGGAAGGGCCCAACAACGACCATTTTGAAGGGGAACATCTATTACAGTTTATCCTGACTAAAGTTGGTCTTCGACTGTCAAAGACTCTGGCGATGACGCCGCCCTAGGCTCCACGGTGACCTTCGTCCTGCCGCTCTGCCGGTCTTGGTCATGTTGCACTGGAATGGCAACCTTTGCCCAATGCCTTGGTCTGTGCTTGCCCCCTTTGCACCAAAGAGGAAACAAGGACACTGTGTTGGCCGGCGCCCGCCTAGCGCCCGCCTGGTCTTGATCGTCATGGCTTGCGTCATGAGCACCTCACGAGGTACCCTTGCCTTGATCTCTCCACCTCCTCGCGAGCTTTTCCTGGCAAGGCCGCTCCTGAGGAAGCCTCCTGTCATCCGCCCCGCGAGGCTTGGCCCCTTGCGAGGGTCTTGAGCTCGAGTCGACGAAGATGGGCCGCACTGGGCCACCACTTGAGCCACGCCGCAGGCCGCAGGCAGGCAAGTCTGGGGACCCCCGTTCCCAGAACGCCGACAGTATTGAGATCCAAAAAGAGAGAAGAAGCCATCTAGCTAATAACTATGGACCCAAAGGTCTGTGGTAAACTACTCACAACTCATCGGAGGGGCTATGGTGTTGATGTAGAAGCCCTCCATGGTCGATTCCCCCTCCGGCGGAGCGCCGGCAAAGGCTCCAAGATAAGATCTCGCGGATACAGAAGGTTACGGTGGTGGAAATAGTTTTTCGTGGTCGCCTTTGATGTTCTTGGGGTATGTGGGTATATATAGGAGGAAGAAGTAGGTCGGTGGCCGCCCGAGGGGCCCACGAGATAGGGGTGCGCCCAGTAGGGGGGGCGCCCTCCACCCTCATGGCCGCCTCGGCAGCTTCTTGACTTGCACTCCAAGTCCTCGGGATCACGTTCATTCCAAAAATCATGCTCCTGAAGGTTTCATTCCGTTTGGACTCCGCTTGATATTCCTTTTCTTCGAAACACTGAATAGGCAAAAAAACAGCAATACGGGCTGGGCCTCCGGTTAGTAGGTTAGTCCCAAAAATGATATAGAAGTGTAAAGTAAAGCCCATAAACATCCAAAACAGTTAATATAGTAGCAAGGAACAATCAAAAATTATAGATACGTTGGAGACGTATCATCAGCCATGAAGATCCCAACTCTGCTCGGCGGCTCAAAGGGGTCCGGAATACTGCTGCCATCGGAACAGCCCCCAAGCCCGCCGTCTTGTAATTGATACAACGAATCCGTCTCACCCGTGGATGACTCACCATCAGAGTAGATGGCCGTCTCGCCGCCAGACACAGATCCTTCAGAAAATTCCCCTCCATGGATGCATCCCATGAAGGCACACTTCATGGCGGGCTGAGCCCGAGCGAGTTTCGCACGCTGAGCCGTCTCGACGATGTCGGTGCAGATGTCCGGCTCAAGGCCCGGCTCACTGATCTTGCCGATGAAGATATGGATTCCCCCGAAGGGGACCCGGTACCCGTACTCAACCGAGCCGGCGTCGGGGCCCTAGCCTGCGTCGTTGATGTAGAGCTTGCCGCGACGACTCTTGGTCATCCGGCCCACAGCGTATCCCTTGAGCCCTTTGAAGCTGCCCTTTAAGAACTCAAATCCACCGTGCGCTGGCCCCATGGTGGGTGCCAACTCTCGTGGAATTGTCACGGCAGATGTCCTAGTGAAAGGACTTAGTCGTGGAGACATCGCAACTAGGAAGCTTAAAGGGGTTAAAACGGGACAAAGGACAGGGAAGTTTATACTAGTTTGGCCCCTTGCGGTGAAGGTAATGGCTTAATCCAGTTTGAGGTGGGATTGCTTATGTCTCGATAACTAGGGAGCGAATCCGCTTGACCTAGCTCTCGATCTGATGTTACTTGCCCTGAACCGCCGTCGGGTCGTCCCTTTATATACAGAGGTCGACGCCCAGCGGTTTACAGAGTCCCGGCCGGCTCATAAACAGTGTCCGGCTCGGTCTCTCTCTATTCTTGCCTTACAATACAAGTTATATACATATGGCGGTTTATCTCTACGGGCCTTAAGTCGCCTTTGGGCTTTGAGCCCTTAACTGAACCACCATCTTCAACCATCGTCTTGGGCTTCATGAATCGTCATAGGTATAACCCAGTCCCTCCTGGGCGGGTCATACCTACTAGTCATATCCATAACAAACCGGGATTTCTGCATCACCACCCCGCCCCGCCTGCACCGCGTATGCACGGCCACCTCCACATTGTGTTGCGTTCGCGGCTCGGGGCTGGCCACTCGCGCGCCGCTGCGTCGGCTGCCCGGGCGCCGGCGCTGACGCGCTCATCCTCACGTCATCACACGCCGGCTGTCATCGCTGGTTTCAACTCGGTCTCTGGCACTACCTCGCCTCCACCGAGCGGTGTCCCTGACCTCGCGCGCGATTGAATTGATCACCCGCCCATCGCGACGATCCACATCATCTACGTCGTGCGATCGGCCTGGCCCGTCAGTTGCGCGCGCCTCCGCGGGTCCCGTGAAGACCGTCCTGAGTACAGCGCGCCTCTACACCGATTGAGCATCGGGTTGCCACTACGATGCCCCGTCGGGCCATAGCGTCGTCGCTGCCGCTCTTCTTCGGTCGCCGCCGCTGCTACCCCTGTAGCCACCGCCGACCGTCCACCCCTTCATCTTCGTCCAACACCAGCCCATCGCCAGCGTCGCCGTCATCTACTCCGACCACTTCGTCTACTCCGACCACCGTTGGTGACATCGTCCCCATGCCGATTGGCACCACAACTGTTGTCGAGTCTTCTCTATTGGCCCTCCGTCTCGTCTACATGGCGTACGGCTCGTGCAGGTCCCTCGTCTACGCATGCCCGGAACTGGCAACACCGATGTGTGCGTTCATCCACGACGTGTCACGGGCCTGGCAAGCCTGGTCGACGCTTCGTCAACTTCGTCTTCGTCCGTCTACGCATGCCCAGTGCTGGCAACGCCGATGCGTGCCTTCGTCCATGATGTGTCCCCGGGCTTGGCAAACATGGCGCGACGCGTCGTCAACAACGTCTTCTCCTTGATGCACCACTACTTCAACACCAATGCACCCATGACTAACTCGGCGCCTCCTTATGCCCGCGGCCCCACAACGACTTCCTCGACACCGGCTACCCGACTCGACATCGACCACGACATTTTTCGCACGGCTACCTCGACCATGGCTACACCACCCACGCTCTTGGCTATCTCGAGGAATGGCACAAAGGGCTACCGCCTTGCTTGAGCAACCTCGTCGGTTTCCACTTCCGCGATGCATCGGCCGTTACGACTGGTGTGTGTGTGGGGGGGGGGTGTCCGTCGGCTTGCTTTCGGATTCTTCTCTAGTCTCGCGATCCACGTCGCTACCGTTGTGACTGTCGGGGGGTGTTGGGTATATTAATTAGATTGAAAACATAGAATAGACTAGGAAATAATCTACCTTGACTTGTACTCCAAGATAACCATGTACTTCTATATATATGCCCACAAGGCTCAAGCAATAAATCAACAATTTCACCAATATTTCTCTATCTCTACTAACAAACAAGGTCGGTGTTTTATTGAATATTGACCTATCGAATAGTTTACGGTATGGATGCATCCACAACCAGCATCGACGTGCATGTGCAGAGGCGGAGCCAGGATTTCTCAAAGCCTAGGGCTAAAACTAAGTGGTTATAAAAATGACAAATACTGCAGATACCAATGCATGTTTGAAGTACACCATAAATTCGCATTAACAATGAAATATGAATTCATTATTACCATGAGAACAAATTTGATAAAAATGTAAACAATTTAACAAAGTGCATCATTGGAAGTACACCATAGTTGCGAGTTGGGCCACGCCTGGGGCTATAGCCCTAGTTGCCACAAGCCCAATTCCGCCCCTGTGCATGTGTACATGTAGGTAGGCCTGGCGGCCGGCGGCTCACATGGACTCGGCGGCAGGAAAGGCGAGCCCCGACCCTTGCAGCGCGTCCTCAATGACCCCGTCCAACAATGCCGCCATCTCCGACGTCATGTGGTTGCTCCAGTCCCCGGCAAGCCCCTTCCGGAAGAAGGCCTCGTTCTTGACGTAGTTCTGAGCACCGCTCTTGTTCGCCTCCACGTTCTTCAGGGCGCCGATGCTGCACAGCTTGACGATCTCCAGTGCCACCCCCGCGGCCTCCTCTTCCCCGGAGAACGCGCACCCCATGAACTCAGCCAGCTTCCTCATGTTGCCCACCGGGTCCCCCAACATCTCCTCGTACCGGAGGAAGAGGACCCTCTCTGGCCACCTCCGGCTCGCCTCCCAGTAGCTCAAGACGTGGGGCCTCTGCGGGCCGCCGGGGCACCGGCCGTCGCAGAACAGCTCGAAGGCCTCCTCCATACCGAACGACGTTGGCACCGGCCGCGGTTCGTCGTCGTTGGCGGCCTCGGCTGCGGCGGCCACCGCCGTCTTCCTGGCGAACAGCCACGTGGAGATGAAGGCGTCCTTGGGGTCGCGGCAGACGTACATGACCTTGCAGCCGGCGCCCTCCGCCATGATCTGCTCCGACAAGAGGGAGTAGGGCATGTGGGTGGCGATCACGCGCGGGGATGGGAGCGCCGCGAATGCGTCGGCGTCCGGAGTGAGCGCATAGGGCACCTCGAGGAACTCTACACAGTCATGCGGGTTGCGGTGGCGGAGCGGGTGGTCGGGGGCGCACGGTGGGTGGTCGGCGCGGTGGACGGTGGCGAAGGCCAGCGCCTTGAGCCAGGTGGTGCCGGACTTGGGGAATGTCAGGGACCTACCCTAGCCCATACATGTACTTGGGCTGGACCTTGGATATCATATGGGCCGGGCCTGGCTGTGCAGCGCTAACCGCTACTAGCTACAAGTACCCGGAGGCGAAGCAACGACAGGGGTATCCAGTGGATCACGGACGAAACCGGCGGCGGGTACCTCCTTCTCCTTCATCTGCTCTTCCTCTACCCTCATGTAATCCAATTCGTGTATAATCGAAGCTTGTATCCCGTAGATCGTGAGAGAGATATCTAGTACCTAAAATCTGGTATTCAGAGCCAGTCCGCCACCTTTCCACCACCTAATTTTCCCCAATTTTTCTTCCACACCGATTCATCTGTTTCACCGGCGACGACGCCATGCCTACCGACTTACCACCGGAGTGGGATGTCATGTCTGCCAAGGAGCAGTTATTGTGGTATCTCGAGAGATTATGCACTAAGGCGGACGAGATGAGTGCCCGTGCGCACGTCCGCGACCTCGCCTGCTCCACCACCACGCCCCAAGAGGTCCTTGAAGTCATCCTTGACGCGTCCCTTGCATACACCGCAACGACGCCCACCACCTGTTCGACGGATGGTCTGAACCAAGTCGTCCCCACCGCCATCGTCAACGAGGTCCGTGATGCCGCCGCCACCGTCTGCCTCGATCCCGCGGTCGACCTCGACAACGAGGAGGTGCAGCATCTCACACCCGCACCAGCAACGTCCTCCATCGGCAGCGACACATACTCTATCACCAAGGCCCAGGAAGTGCTCGAGGTCATCCACGACGTGCCCCCTGCTTGCATCACGATGGCGCACATTACCTATTCGACGGATGGCTCGAACCAAGTTGTCGCCACCAACAGCGTCGACAAGGTCACTACCGTCTACCACGAGTCCGTCGTCGACCTCAGCGACAAGTTCGGCGCCCTCACCATTCCTGTGATGGCCAGCATCAACCCGCCGCTCCACGTCCAGCTTCCGTCACGAAAGTCCTTCGCCGACAGCACCTGCGGCGTCGCTGTTGCATGACCGGACGAGTGCACACTCGTGGCGGCCACTCCAGACGTCGCCCTCGAGCTTGCCGTCCTCTCAAGCGTCTCCTTCCCCACCAACAAGGTCCATGAGGTCCTTGCTGTTTCCCGCAGAGCGTCCCCTGTCTACATCGGCATGGCGCCTTTCTCCTATTCGACGAAATGCTCCAACCAAGTTGGTGCCACTTCGCTCCAGTTTCCAGTCTGGCGGAAGTGGATGCTGCTACGGCCCATGCTGTGGCCATCGTTTTGGATGCATTTTGCTCACGAAAATGAGGTACGACCCATGCCGTGGCCGCCGTTTTCTTGCTCTGATGAAGGGTTGCTGCCCCAAGTTACTTGTCTGACGAAGAAATTGCTTGATAGAGGATGCATTGATTTCACACTCGGAAAGGCTGCTTTACCCAGATTTCTCATTGATAAGGCCGAATATAGTTCTAAGCAAGTTGGTGATCTTTTGGTGCACCGACCGCATGTGATAGTCATGCATAGTGGCAGCCTACAGCCTTTGAGAAGCAATGCTAAAGTATCATATGGGTTTGATCACTTCATCAGCGGAAGTCCACAGATACCCCATGCCACGTATTGCCAGTTAGAAATGGAGCTGAAACCTTCTTGGTTGCAGAAGTATTTATCTGGTGACCTGACTTCTTTGATAACATTCTCAAGATATTTGCCAAGTGTACATCAGATGAAACCCTGCATTTTTCTGAAGGTTGTTTGCAGGATCCCCACGGTGCCAATAGAAGTTCTTATTCTGAGCCAGCCGATAATGCATTGTATGAATGATCTGAACTTGGGTGCTTCGAGATGGCAGTCAGTTATCTCTTCAGTTCAAGCGTTCTATGAATTTCGTCCTCAAGTTAATCATATTACCTCTCCGATGGTAGTCTCCTGCTGTGACTTGATTCCCATGGAGGAGCACGTTAGTTGTTTGCAAAATGCACAGTTGCAGTCTTGGCGTCCATCGGATGGAAGAACATCTGCTGGCAAAATACAATGGCTGTTTCCTATTTGTCTACAGACGATGACACAGTGCTTGGTAATACTACCTTTTGCTGATCTGGATTATCAGCTACGACATCCTCCTTTGCAAGTGTGGATCTGTCACAAAGGACACATGGCCAGCCCTAAGCCGTCGTTGTTGTTCAATTCTCACCTGGATGCATACTATCCTACTGAACCATTGTCATTGCTGCAACCCAAGCCCCCAAGGTCAGCTCTTGCTCTAAACAATTTTGATACAGAATTCACACGCAACTTGAGGACTAATGTGGAATCTCTGCACACCACTACTGTTCTCTTGGAGTTGACTCAATTCTGGGTTGCTACTTATGATAAATTGTTGCTCTATTTCAATCAGCGACTGCCTAGTGTGTGTGGAATGGCAAGCTCCAGTACAGTCAGTCTGTGTATTCCTGGTATTTTTGTGTGTATTCCTGGTCTCTTTGTAGATGATGCAGTGCAACACTTGGTGAGTCCCACCTATGGAAGCATACAAATTGGTGTCGCTCAGGGCAAGTCTTTGTGCACTAAAGCATGCTTATTTTGCAAATGGTTAGTGGAAGTTCAGAGCAACAACAGCAGCAAGGTTAGTATGCTTCAATACCCCCATGCATGCTTTATCCTTGAGAACCCACCTCTGAAACTTGAGCCTGAGTGCTTAGTAACGGATCTGCGGAAGAGGCCTTTCAGTACCGTTCCTTACTATGCTCCAGCTATCATTAGTGATGTACTTGATCTCCTGAATGCAAGTACATGGTTCTACAGCAAGAATTTTACAACTGCCACTCCCATATCTTTGCTTCATGTTGGAGATTGGGCAGCTCATTTGCTTGACAGTACTTCAGCTAGTGGCGATCACCTTGAGCAGTTGTGGGACCCCGGAGGCTTTGCGAGCTATCTATGTGGTACATGCACATTGACGTCCCCGATGCATTATTTGCTTCAAGTCTGGCTTGCATGTGCAGTTTCTATATGCATCCTACTGAGAATGGAGAAGCCAATGGCCAGCGGCAAACTAAATTAGTGGGTAACCATCAATATCTTGCTTGGAACATTGGAGCTTGATTGCAGACTTGACAAGTTAATATTGCTACTAGGGTTCTTGCCGCCATTCTGTGGCCAGTCATGCAAATCCTCGAGAAGCGGAAAGATTTGTGTGTTGGGTGCACCTGATGATCTAAGGACCTTCATGGCTGTCCAAGGAGGCTATTTGATTGCAGTTTCCACTGAAGAACATTTTCAAGGAGGGAGGGGCGTCATCATTGTCGCTGCTGTCTTCAGGGTTTCCTTCGGCCACAATAGTTACTTCTCCCTCGTGGAAGTCTACCTCCACTACGACCAAGGCCAGGAACAACAAAGGCAATGGGATCCGGGTGGTTCTCGGAGGCGTCGGCTTGGGGTCAAGCCGAATTTGAAGGAGGGAGGGATGTCAGGGACCTACCCTAGCCCATACATGTACTTGGGCTGGACCTTGGATATCATATGGGCCGGGCCTGGCTGTGCAGCGCTAACCGCTACTAGCTACAAGTACCCGGAGGCGAAGCAACGACAGGGGTATCCAGTGGATCACGGACGAAACCGGCGGTGGCTACCTCCTTCTCCTTCCTCTGCTCTTCCTCTACCCTCCTGTAATCCAATTCGTGTATAATCAAAGCTTGTATCCCGTAGATCGTGAGAGAGATATCTGGTACCTAATAGGGAAGCTGGCGAGGAAGACGTCGGATGGCCTGGGCGCGAACACCGCGCGCACGGCCACGATATCCGGGAGGATCGGCTCGGGGAACCAGAAGCCGCCGTGCTGCCTGAGCTGGAACGGCGGGAACCGTGTCTCGAGGGGAAGAGAGGAGACCACGAGGCGCTCGGCCATGTCGTCGTCTCCGATGGACGGGGCCATTGGTCGCGCTGTGCTGCTGCCTGTGCCAAGCAACCACGGTGTGTATATTTGTAGCTGCATTTGCTCTATTAGTTTAGTTGCCACGAGACTGACGAGATCCTTGGAGAAATCTCTCCCTATCTCTCCCTAATAATAAAGCACGGATTGGGTCTTCGGGTTCACCGTCACGACATTTTTGCAAAACACTCCCTCAAATTTCTGGTAATTAACCCGCGCTCCAGATTTAAGTTAGTAGTATAATAAGTAAAAAAACGATTCGTTCTCACCCGAACGGACGGACGCAACGCCCGGTCTCCGCCTGCCCCAATCCCAACTCCAGGCCGTCGTCCCCAACACACCATGAGGATGAAGATGGCGGCGACGCTGGTCCGGGCCTCCGGGGGGATCGGACCTCCTACGCCTGCCCGATCCTCCTACTTCTCCTCGCACTGCTCCTTGCTGTCCCCGCTCGCGGCCATCTCCAACGCCTCCTCCCACGCCTACGCCTTCGCGGGCCGTCAGCCGGTGCCCGCCCCGGATCCCACCTTCTTCGACGATGTCATCGACGCCATCGTCGACAAGTACGGCTGGGACCCCAACGCATAGGTCCGGGTTTGGCCGCTCAACGCCGAGGGCGCGCTCGTCGACGCCGTGCAGTGCTACGAGTTCCCCGCCCGCATGGGGCCCCGCAGTCGCGCTGGCGCGGGCCTCCGACGGGGCCGTCGATTGGAGCCGCCCCGACGCCCCCGCGGTGGAGGAGGTGGTCGGGCCTGACGGGGTCGACTTCGTGACCGGCGATGGCGACCTGGCGTTCGGCTCCGGCGTTAGGGTCCGTGACATGGTAGGGCCGTTCGAGCTGGTGGTCTGCGATGGCGCTGGCAGGGGCCGCGCAGAGCTCCAGTTGCCGTCGGTGAGTGCTGTTTGACTTTTATCTTTGTTGCTTTAGTTTTTTTGCTTCTGCTTGCTTGCTTGCTATGCTCTTGAAGTTGTGTGGCCTGTAAGATGAAGCAGTTACTACAATTGGTGAATGGTCTAGCTGCTGCTTATCCCTTTTCTGTTTCTGACTTTGAATTGATTGCGTTTGTTGTAGTGTCTGCACCACCGCCCGTTGATTAGAATGCATGTTCCGGCAGTCCACGCATCGATCACTGGCAAATTAAAAAGGCATGAACGCACTAAACAGAAATTCTGTGTAGATGATTCTTGTATATGGCAGTGGCACACGCGCTGGTTGATGAAGCCGCTGGGCCGGAAGGCCCTCTCATTGCCATGCTAATGAGTATCACGACGAACATGGCCCCCACCTCAATGCCTCCCTGTCGGCGGTGAGGTCTAGCCGGATCTGTACAACCCGCAATATTAGTAAAGAAAAAGAATAGCTTGATTGTTCTATGACTCTGTCGTGGATAGGTAATTTGCATCAGAGGTCTATAGGATCTCCGCCATTAGTTTCCCATTAGAAAATTGAGTTACTAAATTAAGGAAGATGTCCAAAGAGAGGTAATCGTTGGCATGATATGCATCAGAAGATCCTCATCACTGAAGTAGTACTCCACCAGTCCACCTACAGTTTTGGAACATATAAATACGGCATCAAAGTGCTACCTGGCACCAAATAAAGAGTTCAGGTCAGGGTGTTATACTGCAGCTAAGTAGTATAGTCTGAATTTCTAACTTTGAGGAGGATTTCAGTGTTTCTAAAGAAAGGGACAAGGATCAGGGCTATAAGATTGTTGAAAGACTCAGAGACATGTACCATGAATTGGGTATGGTATGTTTTCTACCCGTCTTTTCCTTATATTGACTAAACCTTAGTAAATAACTATTTCCAGTTTTCTCATGTAACCTGAACTGCTGCTTGTTTAAATTTCAGTTCCGCAAGCTGCGGCACACATGGTCTGCCTCCGTGTCGTCCTACCTGCTTCAGGGCCCTCTACTTCTTCCCCCAAGATTGCCATTATGATTAACAAATCTGACGAGAGCAATTTAATTGGTGACACATCATATTTATTCTGCAACTGCATGTGAATTCTCATCTTGCGCCTACCTCTTTTGCTTACCAGGTTGCAAAATTTCATTAACTTATTTGTCGAAGTATCCTGCAAAATCATTTCTCTTATGGGAATTAGCCTATTGTATTGATCTAACAAGGTCCACTTCAACCTACGTAACAATTATGCAGTGAAGATGGAGAGCTTTAGGCAAAAAAAGAAAGAAAAAAAACTAGCACGTGATCTATGGAGAATAATTTTGACAGCAACTCCAACTGTAAGATTCCTGAAGTTATTTCTATGAAAGTTTGTAAGTTTTCTTGATATCTATGTACACTGACATATATCGCAATTAATGTTGGCAGATGCAATGGAGTACACTTGATGCGATCAATTCTAGTGTGTGTGTGTGTGTGATGCAATGACGTATGAATAACGACAGAAAAATATGCCTGAGGAGTATGGGTATGTAGTAACATTTCTCTGTTATTTTCGGAACAACTTGGAATATCTTATTGGTAGTTTATATACAAAGTCATTTTGATAATTATCATGCTGCAAACCTACATAGTTTTCTATATTAATCATGTCATGCTAAAATATAAAAGTTATAGCTTCAATAAATTGATAAAATACAGATTTGGGCTTTACATATTTATTGAATATATATTTACATATGAATACGTCGTTACGGTCGGACTCCAGCGAGCAGCAGTGGTTGTTATACCCCACCAGGTAACTTGCTACTGTTGGTGAAACTCTCTTGTGCAGAAACGCTGATCTTGAAATCTTGATCCTACTTATAGGCCGTATTGCAAGCAATGTACTCATGTTTTACTGAACATGTAGGTAACATGAAATTTTGATCTTCTCCCATCACTGAAAGTTGTGTTTTAAACTTGCAAAAGCATTGCTAAGCCTATTCAATCATTTCTATTTTACCCTAGATTTCACTCCATACCATAATTGAGATACAAATGGGCGTTACTGATGGAGTTAGAAGCTCTTGGATTGAGAATCTGAGATTTATTTAGGTTCAGTAGAACAAAAAGTTTCGGATTCACTACTCCAGATACAACGATGCGGTATATATAGTTAACTTCGTACTTTATATTACCAATTTTTCTTCCTCCAAGAGTTCTTCGGATATAATCTACACCTGAAACAATAAATTGTTAAAAGCAAGGAAAAATTAGTTTCATCAGGAGAGAACTGGCTGAAATGAAGCTAATACCGATGTACTGAATATCCTGCAGTGGTTAGTATACTAAAGAGTAAAACTGCATGTTTTTGTCATATCTGAAACCCTTTTCTGCTCCATACTTTACGTAAACAATGCCTGTGCATTGGCATAAGAATCATAGATTGAAAAATCATCATCCATTGTCATTCGTCACCCTGGCAATGATGCATTTGCTATTCAGAAGACTTCTTGTCCGGTTTAGTGTGTGATTTGTTACTATGATAAGGAAACATTTCCTCAACCCATCTTTCACTACACACACAGGTTGCACAGAGGAGTATAAGGATTTCTTCATCGGGCCAGTCCACGTGGAAGATGTCGCGTTAGCCCATATCACGCTGTTTGAAAACCCGGCTGCATCCGGGAGGCACCTCTGTGTGGAGCCCATATGTCACTTGAGCGATTTCGCGTCCCAAGTCGCGGAGCTCTACCCCGACTACGAAGTCCCGAAGTAAGCAACACACACTGAACACATACTTCACATGTTTGGAGAACAATAATTTCATAACAAACGACGACATGAATGGACTGTTGTCACGGTGCTAATCTCTTTGCGTTTGATCGGTTTGGTCGGCAGATTACCTGAGGACACGCAGCCTGGGCTGGTGAGGGTGGAGGCGGTGCCGAAGAAGCTGATGGCACTGGGCCTGCATTTCACTCCTTTGGAAAAGATCATCAAGGATGCAGTGGAGAGCCTCCGGAGAAGAGGATGCATCGCCTGATGGCTGGATTATTAGCTGTACCATATTCCTTCCCTTCTGTTGTAGGGTCATGATCAACCCTTGCTCCAGAGATATGTTGTGCCCAGCCCAGTGCTAGACCTTATAGTTGCCTGTATGATTGTGCAATAACGGCTGGTTGATCTACTGGTACACCTGTCTGTTCTTGCTAGATACTTGTGGCTCTTAAATTGTTCATTGCCATTCTTCACTTTTTTGTTATCTTTGATGTCCTTTCTCAATCCTTTGGACATCATCAGGTACTTATCCCGTCGCAACGTTGGACACCTTACTATCTTTACAAATGATAGGCGGTACAAAATCAAGAAATGCTTTGAACCTTTGCAACTTCATTTTACAAGATGAAAGTATGCTAATTTTAATTTGTCATAGGGGAACTCTTCCCAACCAAACAGCCAACTATCTGTAAAAACTCCCAAAATATACCCTAAAAAGACCATCTGTAAAAAACTTAACACAACAAATATAGTTTAAAAATGTTCATGCTATTTTTCAACAAAATATGTTTGCACTTTTTTTAAAAAGCTTAAAAATTTCCAAAAAATATTCCATTTTTAAGAAAAAATATTTCCACTTAAAAATGTAACAACAAAACATTCTTTTCGAAAAGCATCTGATAGAAAAATGTTCTTTTTAGAGAAATATTTCAATTTCATAAAAGCGTTAACTATTCTTAAAAAAAGTGTTCCATTTGTATGCAAACGTTAAATTTTATTAAAAATAAGAAAAATTCCATGTTTAACCTTATCATAGATGTTTATTAAAATTGAATATAAGAAATGGTGCACAATGGCAAATGAAAGCAGGTTGTGCCCTTTTTTTCGCCCGGTGCAACACACGGGCATTTGTACTATACTTACTATACTATACTATACTAGTACTAGTACTAATAAACCAGCGATGTCGTACGTCGTGCTTTGTTTCAAAAAAGTCCCCCTGCTTCTGAGAAATTAACCCGCAGTCCTATTTTAAGTGGGTATGAGAAACCGTTTTGTTTTTGCAGAAACACCCCTGCATTTGAGAGTATTCGGTCCATGATCCTTATGTGTATTATTTTGCAGGGGCGGGCAGGGAGGGGAGGCGACGCTGCGCTCCGGATGCGGCAGGGAGGCGGAAGCCCCGCGAGGAGACGAAGGAGCAGAAAATGAAGAGGCATGGAGGAGAGGCGGGCGAGCGGGAAGGGCTGGGGCGTGTGGGCGAGCGGGAAGGGCTGGGGCGTCGCCCACGACGCCGAGCTTGACGGCGGCCTTGCGGTGGCGCAGCCGGCGAGGACCTGTCGGATCTGGCCGGATCCGGTGGGATACGGCGCGCATGCGGCGGATCTGGAAGGAAGGCGACCGGGGCGTGGAGTACGATGGCTGACATGCGCGGCATGGCCGAAGCCAACGAGAGAAGAGAGAGATGGAGAGAAAAGAGAGGACGGGAAGGAGACGAGATGCCAGAGGAGAGAGAAGGGGGTGGTGGTCACTTCAACGGGCTGCAGCGCGGCGCCGCCCCGGCCGCTGAGCCTGCCCGACCGCCCCGTCGCCAAGTCGCCACCCCACTGACTGCCCTGGGCTCGCCCTTTAAACCAATTCAGAGCCAGCGATTGTTGCCCACATCGCCGAACCTGGCTCCCCTTCTCCACCCCAGCAAGCACGCGCGCTTGAAGGCGCCCAGGAGCTCGCCGGCAACACTCAGCAGACGCAGGAGAGCTGCGTGCCTGGTGCGTGTGACTGTGTGGACGCGAGGCATTGGAGGCCTCAGCAAGGTTTGGTTTTGGCTCCAATTTTTTTTCAGAATCATATGCTAATCTTATCTAATGGTCGTTTCTGTTGCAGTTAACAAATTATATTGCCCTGTACTACTTTTTAACAAATTGGCTCCTACAAAGACTAATGGAAGGATCATCAGACCAACGTAGTCAAATTGTCTGCTTCAAATTTTCGGGTATGTGCATTGACGGATTACCTTAATGCCAATATTTCTTGATTTTCGCTTCATATATGAATGATTTAGCTAGCTCTTGATGAATATCTTTCGATACACCTGTAAGTTCTGTAGCAAATGTTTCTTAGCAATTCTGATTGTACACTAAAATTTAGGTGCTTTTGGAGAGCTGATTGTACAATAAAATGATCTACCTTGCAATATCATTTTTCTCACAACTGATGAAATTCAGAGCATCTAAGTCTTAAATTTATCTGCTAAAATATTGATGTGTATCATTCATGTTGTCAGGTAAGTTGAGATTCGCATTGCTTAATTATGTGATTACAGTTTTGGAGCTGATCAGTAGCACGCTGACATGCATCAGGAAGCTGACGGACAGCCATAGTAGGAAGGCGTGGATCTTGAGCTGCAGCGGCAACGACAACTTGGGCGTTACCTGCAAAAATACAACAGTTCAAGGGTTCAACCAAGTGTAAGTTTGATTCAGTCAATTATTGCAGTTCTGCACTGAAACATTCAGATTCTTGCATCCAAAGTTAGATAGGAACAGGGAAAGAATCTCCAACGCTTATTTACATGGGAAAGAACACTCTTTAACTTGGTTCAGATCATCAGTCTATCTGAAGCACCATAGATTGGGTTTGCAAGCAAAAGGATCACACAATCTGACAGTACAAGGAGCAGTCTTTTTCTTCACATCTTTGTTTTAGCTTGCATCTGACACTTATGTGCTCCAAGATTAGGCAACCAAAACTGAACTTATGACTACATGAGTGCATGAAAAACTGTTAATATCTCTTATTTGACTAATCTTTGGATTGGTCGGAGACGAGATTCTCTGGCTTTGGGGATGGCCCTTTGGGGTTCTATCAGGGTTCTATTCATGTGCACTAGGCACTTCTCAACACTTCCATAGTTATTCTAGAACCTCTTTAAATTTGCAATGCTCATCAGATTGTACACGTTTTGATAGCCAAAGTGGAGACTGCAGTTCTAAGACTTCAAGGAGGAAAGGAATACATGGTTGCTACTTGGAGAGGTGAGTTGTTTCCCTGCAGAACAAAAAATCTCTTAGAGTTGTTTAACTGAACCTGTTCCACTCTCATTGTTATGTTGAGATAAAAATTGTTATTGGTCACTCAGTGCCCAAGCTGTCATGGATTAATTTGACTTGAATTGGATTGTACTTCAAGAGTCCACAAGATGTCATTTCTGAGTGTGGTACTAATTTCGGCACATAGCACCAATTTCTAAAAATAAGGCTGGGCAACATGAGCCAACCACAAGGGAGGATGTTTCAAGAGAATAAACTCACTGTAGTTGCCGAATTGGTATTACTCCCTCCGTAAACTAATATAAGAGTGTTTAGATCACTATTTTAGTGATCCAAACGCTCTTATATTAGTTTACAGAGGGAGTAGTAAGTTGCTGTTTCAACTTCCTAGAGAACAACAGGGGGTGTATTTTTTTTTTACTATTATTAGTTGCAGCACATGGCGACGATGACGAGGACTTGTATTTTTAAGATGCTGCACCTCTGTTTTTTGTTGACCTTTGTTTCATGTATATATGTACATTCTATGGAAATGTATCATCGGAAATGTGAATTCATAACTCTATGGTTGATGTATCTATTGATATCGACGTGTCTATTAATATTAAGTTCTTTTTCTAATTGTTTCTTATTTTTCCTGACAGTTATACCAGACTGGGATATATCACCTCCTTACTTTGCCAAACCTTTTTTAAACACTACTTTGTCAAACCTGACACCCACATAACCCTTGCTCACGCTCCAACTATGAACGCATCACTTAAATATCCCACAAAGAATATTATTTCGTATTGTTAAACGTGCATCGCACGTGCACTGTTAAATATCACATGAAGCAGGTTGTGCAAAAACAGTTGTGGAAATATATATATTTTGAAAAACAAAACATTTTTTTAAAAAATTAGACAGAAAAATGCTATTACACCTCAAAAAATGCTACTCACGAGGAAGTATAAAAATTCAATTGGAAAGCCCACTTCTTCGGCTCATGGCCCAGTATACGTGGGTGTTCTTGCACGGATAAAACTAACGAGTTAAAGTGTGGCCAACAGGGTCGGATCCAATTGCAAGAATAGCATATGTTCAAAAAATGGTCTTTTCCAGAGAAATGTTCACATTTCACGAAAATGTTAACTAATATTTCAAAAATTATTCCAATTTTTATGTAAACATTACCTTCTATATGAACAAAGGAATTTTTAATGTTTAACATTATCATTGATTTTTATTACAATTTGATATAAAATGGTGCATAATGGAGCAGGAAGAAGATTCTGCCTTTTTTTTGCCCGGTGCAACGCACGGGCATTTGTACTAGTATATAGTAATGAAGTTTATGGAGAAAGATATAACAAAATGAAAGTTGGAAGTCCTCCGGGCTGTCCGATCAACGCAGGAATTATTCGTCACGTCTCCAAAGAATCACCAGTCAAGTAGTACTCCGCCTCCCGCATGACTGTGTAGAGTTCCTCGAGGTGCGTAAATTATTTGTGACGATTGGCAGGAATTATTCGTCACGTCTCCATAAAGTATTTCCAGCCAATCACGCCAGGTAAGTAAATTAGGTGTATTATTGGTGACAGTGTATTTTGTATCAGTTTGTTTAATTCACATCTAGATGTTTTTATTTTTTAAAAATGTCACATCTAAACTCTCACAAATATATATTGCAACAACAAGAAACAACTAGGACAAAAAAAAGACCACAAACAGAGTGGACATCAGCTTAGTTTTTTTTGAACATCAGTACAGTCACAAGCACTTATATACACGCGTATACACTCATCCCTATGAACACACACACGCACACCCTACCCCTATGAGCACCTCCTAAAGACTGAGCCGGCATATCATTTTGAAATTTATGAAGTTACTGTAGGCACCTCATCATCGACGGGAACGTTTTCTCCCACTGAATGCGCATCGCCGGAAATCCTGAAATAAATCCAGGAATAAATGCGAGCATCAGGATTTGAACCCTGGTGGGCTGGGATAC